CCCCATGTTGTCTCAGTTTCAGGTGGCCAAGGAAAGAGAGAAGAAGACCAGGAAAAGAGAGCACAAATGAAACCTGCAGGCGAGCTGAAGGTATTGTCAGAAAGAGTCCCCTCAATTGATCAACGTGTTTGCCCATGCTTTTGCTCAGCAATTTGTAGAGATTGACAAATGAAAAAAAGATGATTAAGATTAGTGAAGCGTTTCTGTGCCTGTTGCACACACCATGTATAGACTAAGTGTTCATGGAGTCTGGTCCTCTGACATGGTTTAGAAAAAAGACGTAACTTCAACTGATGAGTCAAAAAGAAGAAAACTTCTTCACTTAATGCATCCACAGTGTTTTTTTTTTGTTTTGCAAGCTACCCAGTACTCGCTTGTGAGTGCAAAGCTAGGTTTATGAGCTTCTTGTGAAATTCATTTTGTCTTTGTTTCTATTTCTCTTTCCTGTTTTCTAGTGGCGTTTCTGGTGCAATGGTTAGGGTTGGATTCAGGACCAATAGGTTCTGGGTTCTATGCCCCGATGCTGTGCCCTTGGGAAAGGCACTTTTCACGACTTCGCTCCCTGTAGGGTGGAATGACGCCCGCCGAGCCTCTTTAGGCTAATCTATTCAAATGTGTCAAAAAGCACACTACGGATTTGTTGCGCCAAAATGCCAACATCTGCACATTTACCACCCATGAGCTGTAAATTTTGTCCTGTTTTCCTCTATCTACTTTTGCAGGCTGAGATCGATTTTTCTCAAGAGAAGGGAATGGTCTCGGACGACCTGTTCGCTCCACCTGGAATGGCTATGAAGGTGGACATTGAGAATGGCGCTAAGTAAGTTCACCATTTTATTCATTTATAGAAACATAACGATATTTAAAATGAGACCAACTATCTTTTAAATCCCTCTCCATCATCAGTGACGGAAAGCAAATGTATGTACTTAAAACTTTATTTCGATACCACTTTGCAGGCTAACGTCTGAATTGCGTAAGTATTTACAATTCGTTCTATATTATATTGTGCTCGTTTATACACAGCTTGTAGCTATTTACAGTTTGTCCCTTGTCCTCATCAGTAATTCTTAATTTTTATATACAAGACATTGAAATCTCTTAATGATACAAAAATCAATTACATATTAAAACTCATATCTTAAGGTAGACTGATTACAAGGTAACAACATAAAGTATGAAGATTCGAAAGAAACATGCAGAAAGTTATAATGTTATAAACGCCTATCTGTTCTGTCTCAAAATGCCCTAAATGCCTATTTTTCAAAGTTGAAAATAGCCTCAGTCACAGTGACTTGAGGCTCGCCGTTGATGGCAAGGGTAGACAGTCTAAAGTATTCCATTGCATATGAATATTCAACAGTGTAGGAACTGCTCAGGATGGTACGACAAGCTCTAACTTTTACGATTATTGTTCCTGTTAATGTACACATTTAAAAGGACAGGTAATACTATTGAATACAGGAATAAAAGACGTGATGTTTATAATACCATGTTTTTTTCACCTCAATTGTTGTTACAATGTTTATGATCTCAAAATTTCAAAATGTAGGAAGCTTGTTTTTTTTTAGTCTGTGGAGGATGTCATCCATAAAATTTACTTCCTGTAGCCTTATCGTTAATTAATAACATGTTACTGTATTCTGTAATTTCAGAAAGGCCAACGAAGCCGACGATATGACCCAGTCAAAAGCGTTCTCTTACCCCATGGGACTGGGAGGCGTCTTGATGAACGGTTGTTTCGGGACAGGATATGTTAAAGGAGATCCGTGCTACAAACGGACAAACCCCATACCCCCATGTCCAGTGAGTAGTAGCTCTGGAGGTTATATTGTCTACAATTATTATCTTGAAAACGCGAGTGACATGTAATTACCGTGAGGATGATCTAAGATTGGACGCTAATTCTCATTTTCCCCATATTCCACCAGGGCTTATATTTGCAGGGCTCACTTCACAACAAGTGGGATTCACTAAAACTTATACATTACACTAAAATTTATACATGAAATCTCTACTGTCGCCGATTATCGCCTAGGGCAACCATTACCAGACTTATTCCTGCATGTATCATAATTAATGAATCCCACATTCCATAAATTCTCTTTATTCTCTTTATTTCGATACCCTTTAGCCAAAAGGCTAATCTTCCAGGGTTGAAAAAATGGCATTAGACATGATTAGACGTGATTGCTTTGTAGAAAATGATGGAGGGGTGTACCTTAATCGGGTCCGGCTTCGATGGTCGCGGGGAATACAGCAGCGCGTCCAGGAGGAAATCTGTCGTGCAGCGGTACTGTAGAGATATGAGGAAGTGAGCTTGACGTTTTATATTCGAATTGCTAAGTAAACGATAACGTATGTGTTTTCTGTAAGAAACGTGAACAGCCTCCAGTTTACTTCTGGACTTCCAGTTTAATTCCAGACTAATTTCGATATCCCTGCAACCTTACAACTGATGGGCTAATCTTGTAAACTATGGGTAAAATGATGTAAGAGGTATTAGCAGCCACCGAGGACCCCTTGTTGGATTCTTCAGAATTCTCCAGAATTCTGGAAGTGCAGCCAGAATTCTGGGAACTGGAGCCATAGGAATTGGGTTAATTCCCAAGGGGATTTCGATGGCGGATACATCTACATATTTCTTACATTGTTTTTACTATAGTTTACAATATTAGCCCATCTAGATGTTCGGTTGTTGAGATATGGAATTAGTCCGGGATTAAACTGGAAGTCCGGAATTAAACTGCAGGCTGTTCATATTATATTTAGCTGTGAAGGAGTCCAAAGCCGGGTGATCAGTAGTGGAAAGGAACCGATATTGCATTTGTTGTATAGTGTTGCAGTTTATGGATAATTTTAGTAAAATCAATTATATCTAAATTAGTACTTTCAGGACCGAAGTAATGTTTTGGTGTCGCTGGTTTATGCTAGATTTTTATGTTTGGGTTCCAAAGTAAGTGAGCGGAGATTGGGATTCACTTGATTGACAGGGTTTGACCCGATGTGTCCTGTGTTTAAGGAATATATGAAATATAATCCAGAGTAGTAAGATTCATTACACAAGCATATGAATAATAATGCCTTCTTTGAAGTTAGTCATTAACGTAAACTATATCTACCTCTAATAAGTGTAAATTCATTTCTTTGAAAGTGCAAAGTACTTGTTACTCCTGACCATTAACGAAACCTCGTGTACTTGACCATAGATATCACGGTGAGGACGTGCCAGACACCATGAGCGTTCACGGCATCTATGATACAGAGGTCACCTCCTATGTTTTCGAGTCGAGAGAGGCTTATCGTAATTCTCTTCAGCAGAAGGCCGGCGTCTCTTTTTCTGGATGGGGCTTCCAGGTGCAATAATCCTATCCTTAATTCTACATTATTTATAGAAGCATATCATGCAGTAGCACAATGCAATGTTAAGTACAGTGTAACCATTGGCTTACGTGATAAATGATTCACAAGGTTGTGTTAAGTACAGTGTAACCATTTGTAACGTGGTAATATGATAATGACATAACGTTATAAAGGTGTTGCAGGAAGGTATTGTATTCTAAAATTGTTGAATGGACACGACTGTTTACTAAATTATTAGCAATATTATATTATAATTTACCATACAATAAATGATTTGGTTTGTGTTTTAGGCTTCCGTGGAAGCAGCATGGGGCGGGTCCTCCTCATCCCAGAAACAGTCATTCATGTCCCTCATAGAGTGTGATATTATCAGGTAGACACATTGTGTTGTTTGGGTACATTATGTTGCAAGTCGCAAGACATAGTTGGAGGGGCTGGTCACCATATATATATAAATATAAATGGTAAGACAAATATATATATATATATATATATATATGGATGTCTTTGAGTGAGAATAAAGAGTGCAAAATCATATCCAGTTGCTTGAGTAACTGTTTTTGGCATATCTTATCACCAGGATGTCTAACCCTCACCGACGTAAACAGGGCAGTAGTTTGTTCTTTGTTGGCAGTACTTGAAAAAAGTGGCTAAGAGATATTCACGATTTGGTTCAACAACAACTATTAATGTCATCAATACTTGATTATAAGGGGTAATAATCAATGTATACCTTTCTACCTTTAGGTACGAAATCTTCCTTGACAAAATTTCGCCTGATACTCTGAACCTTGCTTTTCTGCGGGATTTCCTGTCCCTTCCCAAGAATTTCATCCAGGGAAAAGCGAAACTACGTAAGTACTTCACGTCAATTTAAAAGCCCCTGTCACACATTCACTTTCCCCAAATTTTTTATCGAACACCAGCCGATCATGTTCAGCTGACGTTCGGGAACACATCAGAATTAGGCCACGCATACCTTTCTACTCGAATCAAAATGAATTGAAGTTAAATGTGAGTCAAATTTGTTCCCCCGGACACTGCTGACTTACTCCCGAATGGTTGACTGGTGTTCTACTGACTTACAGCCGAACAGCAGCCAATCATGGCTGAACCTCCTGACCAACTCTCGAAATTATTTTAACATTTTGAAACATTCGGCTGGTGCAGCGGAATAGTAGCCAAATTCGCCAAACACCAGCCGACCCAGCCGACTTTCCACCAACCTACTCCTGACCATGGTTGGGGGGGGGGGCGTTCGGTTAGCGTTCGGGATCCCAAATTCGCTTCAAGTTAAAGTGTCATTACAGTTCTGTGTTGTCGTTAAATGGGTTTATGTATCTATTTGATTTTTTTTCATCAATTGCAGAGGATTTCATTATCCGCTATGGAACTCATTTCATCAAATCAGCCAAGTTCGGCGGTTCACTCAGGCTGTTCAAGACCCAAGAAGCATCAAAGAGTGAAAGTCTCGAGTCCTTTGCTGTTGCGGCCCAGGCGTCTTACAACGGCATGTTTGCTGCGGGTGGTCACTACGGTAGAAAGGAATCCAGCGCGAGCTCGTGAGACATTTTTATCGCCCTTGACAAAATGTATATGAAGTGCACTATGAAAAGTAGTGAGGAGTTTCCCAACGAACTTTGCAAGAACAGTATAGAAGGTCTAGCTCAATGCTTTCTGTGTAAACTTATTTTGCAAATAGAACATCATATAATTTTTGTACTTTTGAAATCTTATATCTTTGAAACCTGACAGACAGTAATTTTACAGCTCGTCTTCCAAGGAGTCCAGCACCCATTTGATGGTTGAAGGAGGTGAGCAACAAGTTGCGTCCATGGTAGCAGACTTCTACACAACTAACTTCAAGGGAACCTTCAAAGAGTGGCTGAAGTCCGTCCCCACCTACCCCAAATCTATCCAGATGTTCATGGGCACCATGTCAGAACTGCTGAACCTGAACTACAAACTTCTCTTCCCTTTTGACATCTCAGATGCTGCAGATGGCTGCTTTAGTGAGAAGTGAGTAGATATACCGACATTTTCATCATCAAATTTAAGACAAAAGGAATCATATTAGGAATAGATCACTTATTTACACTTCTTAACAGCGTGATTCCAGGGCAGAAGTACTGTACATGCACCATAGATTTATATCCAAATCCCTACAGGTAGTTTTTGTTTTATCAAACCTAGTACTTGCTTTTATCATATGATAGTCATTTTTCTGTTGATCCAATCCTTTTGTAGTTTGTTGACCGAGGAAGGAACAGGAAGAAAGTTCTACGAAGTCTCGAAAGTTGTGGACAACACTGAAGGAAACACAACAATAGTCAAGGAAAAACGGTATCTTAAATACGTATAAGACAAGACACTTTAGCATTACGTTAGTGATGGCTAAGAGTTGAAGTCATGAAACACATTCTCACTCACTCACTCACTCACTCACTCACTCAATCACTCAGCACTGCATGCTCCACATTGATTAGCATATATATATATATATATATATATATATATATATATATATAGAGAGAGAGAGAGAGAGAGAGAGAG